CAATCCCAATAGAAATCCCAAGAAGGTTTTTTTTTTTTTTGAAACTAACAAGCTGATTTTCAAATATTTATGAAAATACAAAGGATCTTTGAAAATAAAGGACAAAGTTGGAAGATTATATACTAATCAATTTCAAACCATACATAAAGCTACATTAAGAATGACAGTATGGTATTACGTAAGTACAGACATACAAATCGACAAAGGCGAGTCCAGAAACAGACCTATATATACGTTATCAGTTGACTTCCAACAAAAAAATGCCAAGGTAATTCATTGGACAATGGATATAGAAAGGACAAGAAATTCAATAGCAAAAGGATAATCCTCAACAAATACCAAAACAACTTTGTATCCATAAAGGAAAATAATGAACCTAGACCCATACTTCATACCACATCCCCATCAACCCCTAAAAATAGATCACAGACCTAAATATAAGACCTAAACCTATAAAACTTATAGACAAAAATATAAGAGAAAACAACTATGGTCTGATTTTTTTATACAATAATATTTCAGACATCTTTGTATGTTAATAAATATACACCCTGTGCATTTTTATAAAGGTAAGAAAAACAAAGGAGAATCCTTACAAACTTTTGAAATATGTCTTCCTTTTTAAAATCAAATTTCATAACTCACAGTGAGTTTCTTATTCATACACTGTAGTCATACAATCTTCCACTAAAATATAGAAATATTCAAAGGAAAATAACAAAAATCTTCTTTAACTTCCTTTCATATGGTTCCAAAAAGAAAAGACTTCCTTCCAGGGAACTGAAGTTTTGCCTCAATAATTATTTTTGAGTGCTATTGCTAAAGCCATAGATAATAAATCTGCCTAAGATATATTAATGCCACCATGACTTTTAAATATAAAACGGTTACCAGAAGATCATGGCAACATGAAAAATGCTCTGTATTTGTATTGCTTGCTATATGGTCTAGAAATGGCCTGTCCTGGTTGATAAAGATTTTCATAATCCATCACACAAAGATTACAATTTTTAAAAAAGTAAAACAAATTTAAGTTATTCTAAACATACGCCCCCCAAAAAAAGTTTTAGAGGATACTTCAAGAAATTTATTACTACCTAATAGTCATAAATTGTGGTTAACAAAATGATAGATTAAAGGAAAGTCAATTATAGTTTTTCATAACACCAAAACTAAAGGCAATAAATAATGCAATGTTGTCACCCATGTATTAGTTATTTATTGTACATTACCCCAAAACTCTGGTCTAAAACAAGGAACATTTATTATATCACAGTTACTATGGGTCAAGAATCCAGATACAGTTTAGCTTGGTACCTCTGGTTTATGGTCTATCATGAGGTTGCAATCCAGCTGTTAGCCAGGCTGCAGGATCACCTGAAGGCTCAGTTCTGTGTACAACAGGGGAAGGAGGGATTTACTTCCAACATCATTCATGTAGCTGTGGGCAAGTCTTGATCCCTCACCAAACAGGATCCTCCATAGGGGTGCTCACAACAAGGCATCTTTTATTTGTTTATTTTTTATTTCCTTCCACAAATGTCTTTTTTAGGTATACAATTCAGTGTTTTTTAGTAAATTCAGAAGAGTGTGCCATCACTACAACCAATTTTAGAACATTTCATCATTCTAAAAAGAAATCCATTACTCATTAGCAAGCAAATCCTCCATGTTCCCCCACCACAACCCCAGTTCTGGGCAAATACCAATCTACTTTCTGACTCTACATACTTGTGCATTCTAGACATTTCATATACATGCAATCATACAATATGTGGCCTTTTGTGACTGGCTTTTATTACTTAGCATAATATTCTCAAGGTTCCTCTAAGCTATAGCATGAGTCTGTATATTTTTAGGGCTGAACAATATTCTACTGTACAGATAAACCACATTTTACCCATTCATCAACGAATTTGAGTTGTTTCAATTTGTTGGTTATTATGACTACTAATACTATGAACATTTATGTACAAGTTTTGGGGCAGATATATGTTTTCATTATTCTTTAATATACCTAGGAGTGGAAATGCTGTCATTTGGCATCCCCATGTTTAGCTGTCTGAAGAACTGCTAGACTGTTTCTCAAAGCAGTTGCACAGCATTTTACATTCCCACCAAAAGCAGGTGAAGATTCCAATTTCTCCACCATCTCCCTAACACTTGTTATTATATGTCTTTTTGATTATAGCCATCCTAATGGGTAAGACATGGTATTTAATTGTGGTTTTGATTTGCATTTCCCTGGTGGCTAATGAGGTCAAGCATCTTTTTAGGCGCTTATTGGCCATTTGCGTGCCTTGTCTGAAGAAATGTCTATTCAAATTCTTTGTCTATTTTCTAACTGAGTTGTTTCTTTTCATCGTTGAGTTGTAAAAGTTCTTTATATACTCTGGGTACGTGACCTTTATTATTAGATTTGTTCATACAAAATATTAAGGAGCATGTAGACAGTATACCAACAGGAACTCTCATTCTGGTAGGAGAGTAAAATAGCACAACTACATGGAAAAGCAATTTGGCAATATTTAGTAAAATCACAGATGTGCACACCCTACAAGCAGGGAAATTCTTATGCTTGGAAAAAAACATGGATGTAACCTTAGAAAATAACATCAATTAGACTTCATAACCTAGTTATAAGTGAAAAAAGTAACAGAAAAAAATTCACATGGCATGATGCCATTTAAATAAAGTTAAAAAATATGCAAAAGTAAACAATGTTTATGTGATTATGGCAGAAAAGGAACTGCTACACAGGGTTGCGGGGGAGAAGGGGAGAGAGAAAGAGGGAGATAGAAGAGAGGGAGAAGGGGGTGCAGGGAGAGAAAGACACCAAATCCACAAGGAAAACAGAGCTATTTCTGAAGAACTAGATACTACTGTTAACAAATATGGGGTCTTGACTGGCAGAATAAATTCACTTTTGTTTATGCATCTATAATTTCTTCCTGGAGCTAATTAAAGGAATCAAAAAAGCTAGAGCTAGGGGTTGCCAGATTTAGCAAATAAATAGACCCAGTTAAACTTGAATTTCAGATAAATAATGAATTTCTTAGTAAAGCATACCCTATGCAATATTTTTTATTATTATTTATTATTAGTATTTATGCCTACAGCACCTGGTCTTCCTAGGTGGTCTCCCATCCAAGTACTAACCAGACCCAACCCTGCCTAGCTTCCAAGATCAGACATCGGGCTTGTTCAGGGTGGCATGGCCATAGACCATGGGCTGTGACTCTACTGGGGCATGAACCCAAGACCTTCTGTGTGTAAAGCAGACGTGCTAACCGCTACACTATGGAACCATGTCCGCTATGCAATATTTATAATAAGAACTTATTCACTATTTATTTGAAATTCATACTTAATTGGGTGTCCTATATTTTACCTGAAAACCCTAACTGAAGCCAAAAGGTGGAGCAGTAATCAACTCGATTTCCTCACTCTGTAGCAGAAAGTGAGACCCGAAGAAGGGAAGTGACTCACCTAAACCTAAAACAAAAATCAAGGAGGTGAGTTTGCTTTAAAAAGAGAAAGCATATTTCACTAGGTCACCTTGGGTTCCACTCATAGTCCACTCGACCTCCAACTCTGGCTCACCTTACAGAAGCACCAAATGGACAAAATGTAAAAAGGTATTGTTTCTCTCTTTCAATATCAAATTTCCAAGTTTCAGTAAGTCTCTTATCAACTCTAGTCTTCAAATACAAATTAGGGAACTATGCATTTCTCTTAATGTAAAAAAAAACTTCTTGATAATTTTTTTGCCTACACACCACTTCATATTGTTTATAATGTTCATTCATTATTATGAAATAGGACCTCAGTTCTCCTAAAGCTGGTCCTCTCAAAAGCCAAAATTCTCTTGCCCCAGGGATTCAAAATTTGGAATACATTCACAATATTGCATGACTCTAACAATGTTAGTTTACATACTCTTCCAACTTTCACATTTTTCAGTAGAAATGTCCTAATTAATCCATTCAGTTGTTCTCAAATAAGTCTTGCAAAAAGTTTTCCACTCCCATGTTGTGCCTGAGCAACTAAACCAGCAATGAGGCATGGGGTCTTGCTATGAGAAGCATACACTTACTTCCCCTGGGACTAGGGTGCAAGAAAAGATGGAAAGAGAAAGTACTGAAAATTTGGGGGCCTTTTTCCTAGTATATATGGGAAATATACTAATTGTCTAACCATAGGACATACAGTGTAACAAAATCAAAGGAAAAATAAAAATGTACATATGCCAAGGATTCATCTCCCAAACTCCATCAAATTAACAAAAACACAAAACATTTCCTCAACTCTATACCAGTGCTTCTCAACCTGTGACCTCTGGGGGCCCTTAGGGATTATGGGGAGGGTATGGGACAGTGAGGCAGATAAAGGTTTATTTTCATCTTTTTTACAAAATGGGCTTCCAGATAAGGTTTTGAGAAGGTTCCATTGCATTGTTTTAAAAAGCCTTAAAAAAAAAAAAAAAAACTAACAAACTATTATGACTTTCTCTAAGTTTTCTATTAAAAACTTCACCCGGGTGAACAAGAAACCAAATATTGTCAAGTGAAAGATTCAAGGACGAACAAAAACTTAGCAATTAAAAGAAAATATCTACCTATGCTTTCCCTCTGGCAGCTTCCAAGGCACACAGGTCTCCCTCGAGACCGCACACGTCAGAAAGTGTAAGGTCCTAGTGCAGTTTCATTTTACAGATGTGGAAACCCAGGCCAAAGGCGAAGACTGATTTGCACAAGGTCTCACGACCCGTCAGGGGTAGGACTTCAAATGGGATTCCCAGTTCGCAGCCCGCCAGGGCCCTCAGCGCCCGATGGATCCTGCGACCCAAGCTCAGTCCGACCCCCACAGGGAAGCCTCAAGCGCCGGGGCGGAAGCAACCACAGCTCGCGGCTGCTGCCGCCTTTCGGCCAGCTAAACGGCCCGGCCGGCCAAGGCTGGCAGAGAACCCAGGCATCGGCGGCCGCCCCCGCCCAACCCACCTGTCGCGGACCTCACAGCCGACAGCCACACCCCCTGCCCGGGCCCTGGGCTCTGCCGGCCTCGTCAGCGAAGGGCGACAGCGGCTGCGCACGTTGTGAGGTCCAGCCGTCCCGAGGCCGAGGGAGTTACCTCAGGTAGGAGCTGAGCTCGCGGCCAGACCGCCCGGGCCCGCCTGGAGCATGCCGGAGACGCGAACGCAGTAGGGCCGCAGCTCAAGCGCTGAGGACCTGTTTACACCCCTCCGTTGGAGGACGCCGACTGACCCGTCATGTGACGCGCGCATCACGTGCTCGCCTGGGCGGAGGCGTTGCCCGGCGACGACGGCGCGCTAGGGGCGGGCGCAGGCGGTGGCCGCAGCGGCGTGGGTCTTCTACGCTCTCATCCCTCGGGGTGCGGAGGCAGGAACCTGCGGGATCTACCCAGCTCCGACGAGGGAAAAGGGAAGACTCCCACCAGCTGGCTTCGTCCTTTAGTGACCCCAGGGCCTGACTTCATATGTTACATGTGTTTTGGAAAAAAGGATTTTGTTCCAGCAGTATATTATTGAACTTAGAGAAAAAAATAGAAAACGCTTCCTTACCCAAAACTGGTAAACAAAGGAGTGCAAGGGAATAAGCAATAATAGTTTTCTTTGCCTTAACGAACACTTTTATTTCCTTTTGCTTCCTTATCTGAAATGAATAGCCATGCCCACAGCCTGCCACCTCACCACGATAATGAAAACTGTGAGGAAGGCTTATGGAACTTGAAACTTCTATTTTAAATTCTATTATATTTTAATTTTTATGGAAATTACTGTTTGTATGTGAAAATACAAACATATCTAAGTAAACATTTGATTCAGCATTCAGATTTTGTCCACATCAAACTTTCTGTCACTTTGTTTTTGGTGACTATTTCTACCAAGTCTGGTTTTCCCAGATCAAACTTCGCAGAAGGTTCAGCCATTGCCTATTTCTCTCATAAAATTCGTTATCAATTGCATGAAAGACGAATAGTTTGTATTGTTTCTTAGTAAATTCATGAGTGAATTGTGAGTTAGATACCCTCAAATATTCCAGAATTTTCTGTTGTCCAGAAGTGATCTGTTAGAGAATCAAGTTTCTCCATACAATTCTGATCACTTTGCATACTTGGCTGTCTAAGAGCAGATTGACAGCGTCAAAACAGTGGGCTCAAAATATCCTCTAGATCAATAGGACGAAGTCAAACTTTCTCTTCATTTCTATAACACACCTAGAATGCAACATTATAAAGAATACAAAATACAGTGATGAATTTTCTCCATGCTCAACTTTTCCTATGGAAAATAAGTTACAAGGCCAGGTGACACAACCTGGTTGACTTTTTCTGCTGCTTTGGGCAGTAGATGTTCCATGAAGGAAGGAAAATTATCTTCCATTGGTGTATCTTAAGCCTAAACGGTGCCTGGAAAGAAAGAAAAAAAAAAAAAGTTGATTTGTGTATGTGGAATTCTGACATCCTTCTGTAGGAAGTGGCAAAGAACCTTCAGAGATCCAGAGTGATCTGTGAGCTAGGCAGAACTCATGGAGGCAATGCAAGGTAGACTCCTGGCTCAGCCATTACTCTCAAGGAAATTTAATTAACTTTTCAGAGCCTCTTTCTCATTTATTTTAAAGAAAGATAATATCTACTGAATATAGTAGTTATGAAGATGAAATAAATGAAGATGAAATAATACTGGCACAACACCCTAAAGTAACCAATACAGTGCTCAATAAATGTTACGTAAGGCCTTTGGCAAGAAGGTAGTAGTGTAGGAGGTCAGAGTCCTAAGAGGAAAGGAGCTAACAACTGGAATGTGTCCAGGTCCTGGGCCTGGATTCTTGCTGCCTGGATTGGAGTTGAGGATAGGATTACCAGCAAGGAAACTAAGCAGAACTGGGAAGTCTTTGCACTTAGAATGAACAGCCACTAGTAAGGAAATTGCTCATAGGTGACCAGGTGTTTACTTCAAGGAGACTACTGGCCTTATGGCAGCAGGTGAATTCCAAATCCTGTTTGTGGTGATGGGGGTCTCCTAAAATACTACCTTTCCATTACCTCAGCCCAAATAGGGAAATTACCTGCCCTCTCCAAGAGTTTGTAGAAAAGAAAGAAGCTTGAACCAAGTGACCAGTGTTGTTACCCAAGAGCCAGTCAAAACTCACTGTCCATCAAATGGTTAAACCTATCTAACCATTTCTAGTTTCTTAGGATTTCGCTGCAAACAACAAAATGCATTGGTATATATGATAAGATACACTGCAAATGTTTATGACTCTGTAATGGCATTTCACCTAACCCAATGTTCCACTAGAATGATGAATATAAGGAGTAATGGGAGACTTGCAAAGAAAGAAATGAACAATAGCCTACTAAGGTGATACAAAGCTACAATATGGTAGAGCCAGCCTTGAATTTATGTTTCTTGATTCCAAGTCTAGGTGCCTTTTCCTTTTTATTAATAATCATAAAGATGTGTTTGCACTGTACCTATCTAAATCTTGATTTTGGCCTATCTGTGCTACACTGGTGACAATTTTTCTTATATAGTGTTAAGTATATTTCAAAAGTAGATCCAACAGAATTTGCAGATTGATTGGAGGTGGATGTGAAAGAACAGAGTGAAAGATGACTATAATATTTTTGGCCTTTATTCCCAAAAGAATGAAATTGTTTAGATGAAGAAAAAGGGATATGTGAAGTTAGGGGCAGGGAGAGGATAATCAAGAATTTGATTACAGACATGTTAAATTTTCCATGCCTATTGGACATCAAAATGTAGATATACCATTAGCTATGGGATAGAGGACACTGGAATTCTAAGGAGAGATATAGAGATATAAATTGATTTGCCTATGGTATTTAAAGCCACAGGATTGAATGAGATCACATAGAGCAATAACTTCATACTTTTTGACCCAGGATACAAAATACCTTTTACATACTGACCAAATACATGTACGTAACTTAAACTTTCAGGAAACAGAGGAAATGGGAAAAAATGGCATAGATGATAGAGGCTTTGTCCATATCTCTTGTGGCCAAATCAAAGTTGTGACAGAAACACGGAGCAAACAGCAAGCAGAGTCACCTGGGATCTAGAAGAACAGAAGCACTACGACTAGGAAGAGAAATAACAAATCAACATGCAATGGTAGAAGGTAGGAGGGGGTGAAGATGCAAGGCTGCTGGAGCCCAAGCAGCTGAGTGAGACAGAGGCTGTGGCAGAGGCAGCCAGCAGCTACAGATGCCTCTTAAAGGGGCCATGTCCACCAGCAGACTTTCGCAATGATAGACCGGCTTGCTCTGAGTATCAGCACCGGGTGGGCTGCTCAAGGGGCACCAGGGACTTACAGAAGGACCCTGAGTAATAGAGTGAGGGCCAGAGGTGAGGCTCTCTCTCAGGCAGAAGTGCCAGCAGTATCCATAGTTCCTCTGTTGAGCCCTCCCCTTCTCCCAGTGTGCCGACGCACCCTGTCATAGCTGAGACATCATCAAACTGGATAACAGAGGTCACTACACCCAGAGAATTCCCTGAAACTCTGCCTCCCCCAGCTCGTGGCCCCACCCAAGCCACATCCAGCTGTGTCCTCCCCAAGTCCAATTCTCCTTACTGAGCAGTGCCAAGACTCACACTGGTGGTAGCTGGCCTCGGTTTCTGGTGTGGCTTCTTGAGGCAACTATAAGCACAGCATCTGTGGATTGCTTGCTGAATCTTAACAGGTGGCCCTGGAGGGGCACAGGATGGGGCTAAATGGCCTGTAGCTGAACCCCTCAGTTCTGTGTCACTGGACCCCTACTACACAAATTCTAATAAGACCAGGAGCCTTAGGAGCTTTGCCTAGTACATAGAAACAGACGAAGAAAGGCAGCCAAAATGGGAAGACAAGCAGAAATCACATGAGAGAACAGAACAGAGATCCAGAAATAATAGAGTAAAGCAATATAACAGATGCAGAGTTCAAAACGCTGGTTATAAAGATGCTTAATGATTTTAAGGGAAGTGTAGATGAATTCAGTGAGAACTTTATCAAAGAGATAAAAAACATAAAAATGGAAATGGAAATGATAAAAGGGAAACAGTCAGAAATGAAGAATACATTATCTGAGATGATGAGTGTATTAGAGGGAATAAACAGAGCAGATAAAGAAGAGAATAGAACCACCAATATAGAGGATGGGGAAACCAAGGACGCTCAATCAGAACGTCAAGAAAAAAGTAACCAAAACTATAATAATAATTTAAGGAGCCTATGAAACACCATTAAATGTAAAACTATCCATGTCATAGGGGTACCTGAAGGAAAACAAGAAGTTGAAGAGCTATTTGAAGAAATAATGATGGAAAAATTCCCCCGGAACCCAAAGAGGCCCACACCAACACATATCATAATTAAAATACCAAACGTTAAATACAAAGAGAGAATCTTAAAAGCAGCAAGAGCTAAGCATTTAATTATCTACAAGGGAGCACCCATAAGACTGGCAGCTGATTTCTCAAAGGAACTATGCAGGACAGAAGGGCGTGGCAAAAATATGTGACGTGATGAAAACCCAGGATCTACAATCAGGAATACTTTATCTAGCGAATCTATCATTTAGATTCGAAGGACAGATAAACAGCTTCCCAGACAAAAATAAGCTAAAGGAATTTATCAACACCAAGCCAGTGTTACATGAATTGTTAAAGGGACTTCTTTAAGAAGAAAAAACATATATCAAAATCATGAATAAAGAATGGTAATAACTACATTCCTATCAACAAGTACCTCAAATAGAAAAGAATTAAGTGCTCCAACCAAAAGATAGAGTGGCTGAATGGATAAGAAATCAGGACCTCTACATGTTGCCTATAAGAGACTCACTTCAGATTAAAAGACACACACAGACTAAAAGGAAAGGGATGGTAAAAGATACTGCCTTGACAGACTTAGAGGGTATTGTGCTGAATGAAATGAGTCAGATAGAGAAAGACATATATCACGTACATGTAGAATCTAAAGAACAAAATAAACAACAACAAAAGCAGAAATGAACTCATAGATACAGAGACTATTTAGAGGGCTACTAGATGGGAGGGGGTTGAGGGAGACAAAAAAAGGCAAAGGGATTAAGAGGTACAAATGGATAGTTGAAAAATAGACATGGAGATGTAGACTGTAGCATGAGAAAGACAGTTAATAATGTTGTAATAAATATCTGAGGGGGAACAGAGGCACTAGATTTAGTGGGGTCATCACTTTGTGAGTTATATA